TTCTCGACATCATTCAATCCAATCTCGTATTTTCCATTGATGCGTTGAAAGATTGTTATTGGTTCTCTCGTCGCCTTTGTATCCGACTATCATCATCGGACCATTGATTTCTGCTAGACTCTTCTCAAAGAACGGTCCATATATAGTTATCTAAGAAATGTTTTCTTTAACATTTTGAGTTTAAAATAATGATCATGAAAGATACTTATGATGACATTTGATTGATCTGCAACTCGACGGTGACGTTGAGCAGCGTTATATGGTTAGTTTCGGGAATAAGTCCGATGATGTTGACAATAAACAATGCTCTGTGCGAGAACTCGATCCCTATTTTTTTTTTCCATATATATTTCCCCTTACTTTCTCGGCAACCAAACACTCTCCATCCCTTCTCCACCTCCCCTGCGAGTGCTCGCTCCATCTCTCCTGTCGCCGCAATGTCTTCTTCTTCGACCCCAAAGATCATTGAGTACATCGTCCTCTTCAAGGTCAAGGATGGCGTTGACTCCGACAACGTCACCGCCATAAAAATACTGATCAAAGATGGTATGAAAATTCTCTTCTATTAACGTGTTGTTGCTGGTAGTAGCATATATATTGTGACTATCATTTTCAATATAGTATAATATTTTTTAATATATCATTATTAATTCATGTTTTTTCATTACATGATAACATTATAATGTTATATCATTAATAATTCATGTCTTTTCATTGCGTCATAACGGTATAATATTTATTAATATTATCACTACTATTCACAATAATAACTATTAATTACTATAATATAAAATGATAATTAAAATGAGCAATTAATTATCATAACTTTTCATTTCAAATTAACGTTTTCATTTAATTTATAGTTAAAAGAAATATATCTCCCTCATTAATTATTTTTATTTTGTGTATTTTTCTACATGATTTTGAAATTTTTTCCTACAATATCATTCTTCTATAGTCTTTAACATAAAAATAAATGGTATATAAAACTGATTTTTTTCATCAATTAATAAAAAACCAATAACACTTAGCTCATTTTGAATGAGTTTTGTCTTATATCTTTAGAAATGTTACTATACTAAATTATAACCTATTATGTCTTTTCATTATATCTAATGTTATTTAGAATGATATCGATGTATGTTTACACTTTTTTAAGTCCTAAAATTAATTGAATTTCAAATACGGTCTACAATTTGATAATTAATAATGTTACTTGTTGTGTAGTATGTTTATTTATAAATATTTTACATAGAATCGATTAGATATCTTTGTTTTTAAAATAAATAAAGATATTATATGTATGATCATATATGTTTTGTAGTACTCATTAGGATTAATCCTTTTTGTTTTGCAATTTTTTCCAGTTATTAATTATTATACATCTCCATATATTTAGGTTTGTATTCATAACGGTGCATATTGGATCTTGAAGTTTTTTTCAATAATATTTTTTTATTATATGTATAATAAAAGTCAAACTTTGATAAGATTATAATAATTGTTTGACTATAATATTAAGTAAACTTATAAAAAAAATCGTTGCGGAAAAAAGTTATAAATACAAATAGTTTTTTTTTGTCAAAACTCGTAAATCGCGGTAACAACAAATAAACATTAACTTGTATCCGTTGTTTTTTTATCTTAAATTCATTAAAAAAATATTTGTATTCTATATTTTTGTAAGTGTTCCGAAATATTTTTCTTTGAAGAATATTATCTACCAGCATGGTAGATTTTTGATAATCATAAATAATTATCAAATTATTTTATGATTTCGTTATTTTTCCATAATGACAGTTTAAAAAAATCATTTTTTTACGGTTCTTTTATTATATGCATAATAATTTTTTATGGTGGAAAACTTTTTTATTTTTTTTATATAGAATCTTACATTTTTACTTAAACTCTGGGCTTTAGATTTAAAACATATATAAGCTTTTAATCACATGTATCTCTCTCTCATATTCCAAATGAGCCTAGTCGTAAGGCCCATTTAAGATTATTTCGAGATTATGGGCCCAATATGCAAATCTCATCTACCGAGTGAGGTTGTGTTAATATGGATTTGCATAAATGGCCCAGTAGAGATGAGTATGGGGCTCATACCCTATCCCAAATTCTCCTGAATCTCTTTTGGTGTTGGGGGAGCAATCAAGTGCGGTGAATGGACGAAGGATGCTTCGATGACATGTCTGATTCTCGAGCTCGATTTCTTCCAGAAACAGACCAATCTCTCTTCTGCGTTACTATTCATCGAAGTTTAGATGTTTCTCTTACATGGGTTCCTTCTTTAACGCCGGAAAACAGTTGAAACACGATGATTCTGCTGTTCACGAAGCGTTTGGTGTCTCCCTTCCGCCTATGCGTGATGTGTAACGAAACTCATCAGATCGAATGAACTTGTGAGGCGTGGATATTGTCTTCTTTTAAGTTTTTGCCCTCCAGTGATACGCCTACTTGGTTGACCTGCACGAACTGCTCATGAATTTTGGAGTTTTTGAATCTTGCAAAGCCAAAAAGTTTCCATGAATCTTGTGTTGTGGGTTTTAGTAACGTTACAAAACTTGATTGCGGTCTTGGAAAAGGGTTTGATATGGAGAAGAACTCATGCCTTTCATTATCATTCGTTCAGTTTATATACAGCAAGGTTGTTATACAAATAAGATAATATAATCATAATTACATAATATGTGGTATAATCCCATAATATCGTCTGTCAGAACATATATACCATTCTTATAATTGGTCTTTGGATTCACTGCACCACATGGATTGCAGACCAGAGCACTTGAATAACTCCTTGGCCTTCATTATATGAATTCGAAATGCATCCACTACATATATTTCCCTTACATTCAAATCAAACAGCTCAAACTCATAATCTTAATAATCTTAACATTTGTATAACGATTGACCATATGTACGTCTTGTACAACTCACATTCTGAGTCAAGGGATCACATCTTTTATGCTTGCAACCACTCCAATCAGATTCTGGTTGGGACACTTGGGAGGCTGATTCATTTCCCTGACACTCCTACATGGATCAATCTCATCTCCTTTCTTTGCTGAAAATAGGGTTTAAAAATATTACGGGGGACAACTCTTCTCCTCTGGCAGCTGCGAGCATCATCCGAGAAGCCGACCGCATATTCCAACATCTTGTGGCAGCACTCAGGCCACTTAACCCTGAATTTACCGACTTCTGTATGCAGGTCTGGTTCTCAGCAATTTCAGACACGATCCCAGCCAAGCCTCTTAATCCACTATAACCAAATCTCACGGTGTATAGAGTTCTACTGATTTCTATTTCTCCTGCTTCTGTAAGGAACACTATGTAATCTCATTTTGGTATACGAATAGAAACTTTTTTTTCAAAAAAAAAACATTTGTACAAAACAAAAGGCCTAAACATTTGTACAAAACACATGACCACCACACATAAAACAAAATAATGATTCAAACCTATAAACGTTGGGTGAGATTTTTCTCCACCACATCTCCGTCGAATACTAATGACTCACCGCTCTTGCCGTTGTGCCCTTCATCTCCTCCGCCACAGTCACCAGCGTCCTTCGCTTCCTTCTCCGCCAATATGTATAATGCGAATGCACAATGTAATGTATTTAATAGATTTGTGAGGAAGAGATAATAATAAGCTTGCCCTTTGGAAGACATTAAAGTTGGAGATTTATGGGTTTAATGTTTATTTTAGACGTTTTTATAACAAATAAAAAATCAATGGAGAATCAAATATCTTAATATTTAAAATCAACTTGATATTGTGTTTTAAAAAAATCATGATAAAAACTAAATTATTTATTAATAACTCATTAATTCTTTTCATTGCGCCATAACTAAAACATTTATTACTATTACCCCACTAACTTTTTCCACTAACCATTCAAGGATTTTAAATACAATATAATATAAAGTATTTATTAAAATCATTATTAACTATTTCTAAAAGGGTGTTAAAAAACAAACGGAAGGAAAAATGAACCAATTCTATATTACATGATCCGTTTAATTCTCTTAGATGAATATAATTTTTTCTCTTTCATTTACTTCGATAATAATGGGCGTTATTAGTGGGCTCGATTAATGGTGGTTATTAGTAGACTAAATAAAACAAATTTAATTATTTACTCTACTCATAACACCCACTACCTATTTTCTGAGGAAAGCAATTATTTTATGATTTAAATTTCAAATTAATTGTCTTACATAAATATAAAATTCTATGATTTAAATTAACAAAATTAGAATCAATTATTTTAATTATATATCAGTCGGTTATAAATTATATATTTTATATATAGATTTACTATATATATGTATTAATATTTTAATTTGGAGGCTTATGATTAATATTTTTTGTACGGTTAATATTTTTGTTTATATAAATTAGATACATTGATTTTAAATTAAAAGTATTTTAAATTTTTATTTAATTATATGATGGCATGTTGCTTATATATGGATGCTTATATATATATATATATATATATAATATAAAAGATTTATTTGATAAGGAAAAATATTTTTTTTATTAGATTATAATATTGTAATGCAAAATCATATAAGATTAGTTTCTATTATGATATTTTATTATTATAATATGTATGTTTCTATTATTTGTTTTATTGTAAACTGTAATGATAAATTATATGTAGGTCATGAATATTTTAATTGTATAATAAAAGTTATAAAAATGATGAGATAGAAGATGATATGGCATAATCAAAATAATGAATACATCAAATGACCAATAAAATTTGAGAAACTTGATGATGTGGAAGATGAGGTGTCTTCACCATAATCCTTTAAACTCCTTTATTAATATATATAGATTTTTTATCAATAATATGTCGCTGGCGTATATATATATATATATATAAAAAAAAGAGGTGTATATGTATATATATATATATATATATATATATATATATATATAATAAGATTCATATAAATGAGAAATACCATTGAACAAAACAATGATTAGTCCCCAAATGAACACATATAACATAACATAACACAACAAATAAAAATTGTAATGAAACAATGGGAAGAGACTGAAAGAAAACAATTCAAAGCTTAAGACCAAACCTACAATCACTAGCTTTGATGTTGATTCTATTGTTTTCGGACAAACTATCCACGACAAGCTTGCATTTGCCCAATATCCTAACCCTCCTCATCTTCAGCTTCCCTAATCTAACGGCTACAGGAGCATCGACCTCCAGATCCAACGGCACTCGTCCCGACGTCTCCTGCTGCTGCTTCAACGCTGACATGATCGCGTTACCGTACTGCGCTGTTCCCTTCAGTGTCACGTCTAGTTTAGTCACATTACGTTTCCCCTGGTAAAATCTCGGTATCGGGCCTTCGCAAAGCTTTGTTTTCGCGTACCAAACTCCCAAATGGCCTCCTTTCTCGTAGTAAATCCCGATTTTCTCATTAGGGTTTCGAGCGGTGATCTTGACGTCGAATTCCGCGTAAAGGGTAAGGTCGAGGTTGATCCTTAGGTTGCTCACTCTTAGACTATCCACGTCGTATTGAGGCAGTTTCGGGCGGAAAACGAGGTATATAACCGCGATAGAAATGCCTAAGGTGACAAGAGCGGTAACGAGAAGGACGAGAATCCAACAAAAGCACCTGCAGAGGAAGTTTTGGTTCTTTCTTCTGGCTTTAGGACTGCTCGAAGGAGGGATCATTGTGCCGGGAATCTCTGCCTTGCGTCGTCGCATTTGCTCCGAGGATGACTCCACGTCTCGGGCTGGATGAACTCTGGTCTGTTGGTCTGCCATCTCAGTGTTTGTGCTGCCTTTGTTCATGTGTCCTAGTTCATATATTAGGATTGACCATTGAAGTTGCTTATGCTGCTTTGCCAATATCTCTCACCTTCCATTACCTAACACAGGAGCTGTGGTGGTTCAACCAAGCTGATTTTCATATGACATGTGTGTAACCATTCATCCAAAATGATGATATTCTACTATATCCTAATTAATAAAAAAATGATTAGATTTAAAATTGCTTAGAAAATAAATATTTACTAATAGATTTTACCTTAAATACTTTGGTTCGTTTAATAACGTGATAACGAAATGAACTGATTGAATATAATTTTTTTAAAATTAAATAAATCAAAGTTCGAATTGAATATATATATAATAAAAAAATTGAACGAAAACGAATTTTTTTAATAAAAACTAAATCTAGAGTCTAAACGGAATCAAATGAAAAACCAATATAAATACCATATTAACAAAACTTGTACAAAATAAAAACAAACGAATATAAACCGAATCCCAAAATATCCACCCGTTATAAAGACAGATCTATGGACAAATAGTAACCAAAAAGATCCATTGCATGTATGAACACAGACCAAAAAGAAGGATCATAAGTTAGAGGAAGACAAGAGATCTGTTTTGAAACTATGTTCAGAACCAAAACAAGAGGAACCCTGCATGCGACACAGTTTGAGAACTGAAGGTTTGTCCTAAAATCTTGTGAGACGAAGAATCAATCATCTTTCCTCTATCAACAGATATGCTAACAAGAAATGTCTCAGAAATGCCAATTGAGTCCTATTCTTCACGTCAGCAAACACGTGGAAGCCGCAACGAGCAGAAGCATCGTGACTATCCCGAGGTTAACCACCGTATCGACATCTGCGAGCTTCTCTAATCTCTCGTGGAGATCTCTCCGCATTTGCGTATATGGGCATTGTTTCTTCTGCAACATGAAAAGCGGGTTTTGGTTATAGTATTCAAATCAAGAATGAAAAAAGAAAAACCAAAAAATCGTGCAGAAAGTTCTAACTTTTATTTTACATTCACAATTGTTTCTTCCGTTTTACGCATAACCTCTTTTTCTGTGTGATTGTTTCCAGACATCGCTAAATGCAATACCTACGAGCTGTGTGATGCCAAGCTAAAAAGAGAAATTCGGCCCATTTCCGTAAGAAACAAAAAGAAATTACTACAGTTTATATCGAAAAGGGTTGCAAATTTTAGAATGGATATTTGTATCAGGAATAATTATAAATAAAACAAATATTAGCTCTCTTGTTACCTCGGTTTTCAGTTCGTGGATTTCATTAGAAGCCTCTACATTGTCAAGTGTTTCACTATTACCGTGCTGAGAACGTTGGCTGAACAGTGTGTCAGAGTTGATTTTGTCAGAGATTCTACCAGAGAAGGCCTTGTAAGTGGAATCCGTATGTATGGTCTCCATGACTGAACCAAAGAAGTTTGTCACTGGCACCTAAACCCAGAAAAAGGGTAACCTTGAAAGAATGAGTATTCCACTTGAGAAGAACAGTATTGTGTAGAAAATAAACAGGGAAATACCAAAAGGAGTCATGAATTTAAATGAAGACCATCATCATCTAAACCATGAATATCGCATAACCAAACAATGGGAACATTTATAAGAAAAAAAACCTAAGCTTTTCTAATCCGAACGAGCACATAGTAGTAAGAAAATCCTTTTCAGTTTCCTGATTTCCCTTTTAGGTTTCCCCATTTCTATCCCAACTTAATTTTTTCTTCTCATTCCAATTCCTATATATGGAGTTGTTGTACCGGATGTTATGCACAACTCTTAGTGATAGTATCCAAAGTTTTCAGATGATTTCTATGTTCTCTTTGAATTTCAATAAGAAAACAAACTTACGCTGCATTATTTGAACCCTGATTCTGATGATTAGCTAAAAGACATTTACTTGTGATAACTCGGCCTTGATTGACTGGTGCTGGCATATCACAGTTAAGATGAGATGATGACACCACCTTGGGATGCTGCATCATTACAGTACAGCATCCACCGTTTGGCCTTTCATATCAGATTTAGCCAGGTGCTCTTATATGGAAAAATCAAATTTCACTCAAGGCATGGTAAACGTTCATGGTTTTCCTTTTGTACTTTCTCCAGCATAGACTTTGCAATGGCCATGGGGAAATCCATTCAGCTACTTGTACACACCATGTAAAGCTCGTAAAAATGGAGAGACAGAAGAGAATAAGAAAAGATGTACCTTCTCCAAATGTGGTTGGTAAAGATCTGTCCGGTAATAGGCAGTAGACATTAGCAGTCTCGGATCGTAGGAGCTAAACAAACTGCACATGTATACCAAGAAGGAAAGGGAAGTGTGAAATCATTAAGCTCAGAGCTTGGAAAAAGTCACGTCGAAGATGCAAAAGGCCTAAAGGTAGATCACGAGACATGTGAATATCTTCTACGCATTTTAAGTGACATATTTGACTATCTGATCCATATCCATTTCAGAAAATTTTAAAAATTTAAAGCGGTTGGGAAATTTTCGTAGTTGAAATATCTTCGCAACATTTTGATAATTGTTGTACCTGCTCAGTGATGCATTGTCATATATATTTAGCCTTTCGAAGAATGCCAGAGTATAGAATGTAAAACGGTCCACAACTGACACACCAACCTGTAGCAAACAGACATTGAAAGATCACAAGAGATGGGTATCTTAACTACACAAAGGTTTTCTATTGAACAGTTACAACATATGCACATCTCTGGATAATACAAAAGTAGCTTTCAATCATGAAATGTTATACTAGCACTTACATCTGAGTCTAGATGGTGCGAATATGAGTTCTCTCCTTTAAGACTACTACCGATGGCCAAAACACCCGGAGATTGAAGCTACAAAAAATGAGATATTCAGAATGCTTATGAAGGAACTGAAAAGATCCAAGATGCCAGTTTCAGTATTAGGCAGTAAGTCCATTGAAAACCTAAACAGCAACGCCCACATAAGTAGAGATAATATAATCGATATCAGCATATAAGCCCAAAACATTACGATTTCTGGCTTGCAAGAACGTATAGTTGATACCAAAAGGAAAACTACCCATCAAAACATGACACTAAGATGTACCTGGTTAAAGAGAGTGGCAGCTTGGCAAGTATCAACCATTATGAGCAGCTCCTTGAATCTAAATTAATCAAAATACGATCATAAGGAAGTCAAAACTATATCCAGCTAAGACGATATAAAAACAATGTTTGTTTCGCGCAAGGGTAATCCCCGGATATAGAATTATGGTGTTCAACATGCACTCTTTGGGTATCATTACGTATATAGAGCGGGCATTTATCCCAAAGACAAACAGGAACAAGTAAGTATAGTTTCTGTTTGCAAAACAATTCGGTGCAGAGCTCCAATGGAATGTAAAAGAAACATGGACATGTAGTTCAAAGATGCAAGAGAATGTATAACAGACCTACGCTTCTCTTTCATTTGTTTTACAGCATCAGCTAAATCATGGCTCTGGAGTTCTTCTGCATCTTGAAATTTCAGAAACTCATCACCCCCATGCCCAGTCATGTAGAGTAGAATATGACTTCCCTCATCACTTAAGAGACGCTTTGACCTTGGAACAGCATTCTCATGACGCCCAGTCAAAACCCGTAAAAAGTTTTCAACTGTTACTTCATACCCTCGATAATCTACCTGAGTGAAAATGATTACACACTATCAGCTCTTGTCTAGAACAAACTTGGACTGTACAATCAGCAACATGCCGAAGGCATTTGATAGCTACAGAATAGTTAATTCACCACATATACCATATTGTTTCAACTTGGACATCAATAACATCATGTATGGCAACTGGCTCACAAACGATTTTTAGGTGAAATCAGATCAGGGAGAGCATATTGCTTCCATAATTCGCAAAGCAATATGACAAACAAATTCGTATATGTATCCTGCTTAAGATGCAAAGTCTTCCGAATACAAGTACCCAAGGGAGAAAGCCCCAATACTCCACTCGAAATTTACCTCAACATTATCCCCATACAAGTTAAGCCTGTGGTTCTCATTGTTAAAAACTTGAGCAGGATACTCATTTCTAGCATTGCAGGCCATGTCATCCGCTAGCATCAGAATTATCCTCTCATCTGGTATTCCTAGCCTCTTGACTGTCCTAGTAACACCAAATCAATAGAATAAAAAGTGAGAACTGAAATTCAGAGAGAAGTAAACATATCACGGTAACAAACAAAGTGTAAGCTCTCACCTATACAGGGACAAAGTGTTTGCCATGTGCCGATAGTTAAACCTGTGAAACAATAATCACATCTATAAATTATACAACACTGGAAGAAACATGTAATTTTAGAAACCCAACGACATAACAATGCTGTCCTTTAGAAAAACCGTAGCACGCCGATCACTCAAGCATATCAAAAGAAACGACATTTATCTGCTAACATGGCTTTTATGTCTAAACATGATCCAGAAGACAAATATGTCTCACAGCACAAAAGAGTTAAAAGGATTGTTCAAAGAAACCAAGAGATCAAAATACACAACACCGAGTTTCCAGTAACATTAACAAATACACCTACATGCTAGTTCATAAAGCCTACAAAGACAGGTCTTTTGCCTATCTGGACTGCCTCCCAAGACTGCACCAGAAATATGATAGAATCTAGAGAGAAGTTAAGTTGGCCAAATCTTTGGAGACGACTCGGCATCAATCATCATAACCAGGACAAAAATAAGAAGTCACCAGTAGTAACATCAGAGATAAACTGAACTGTCGAGATTCAAAGCATTTAAACCCTAAATGGATAGCATGTCTTCAGAGTTTGAACATCCCAGTACTGTGAGAACACAACAGTTTAGTTGCAAAACCTATCATGACTTCGCAACCTCGTGATTCACCTGATTTTGAGCTCACTTCTTAGAAGAACTATATTCCTATGCTAATAAAGGCCTCAGATAAAAAATCAAGTAAGGGAATTTCTCCATAACAACCAATCATGAACAAACAAAAAAAGGCAAAATGGGCATGTGAAACATTTGAAATGGGCATTAATATTCGGATCCGAACAACAACATTTACCAGAAGCGAGAAGTGCAGACCAAGACAGCCCAGTTGTTCGTGTGTATAGTCGTCTCGCCGGAAGAACAGGCAAACAAGTAACAGAGCAGCGCTAAGAATATCAGAATCTTCATATTTGAGACAGTGAACCTGCAAAATTTTGAAACCTATATTGGTCTGAATCAATTCCCCAAAAGATTACCGACTTGAACAAGATTCGATAAAACCAAACTATACCAATCACGAAGACTTGATTGATAGACAAACACGAGATTTCGGAACTCAAAAACCACCCCAAGTCTTATCGAAACTCAGGAATCAACAGCCGATGTTAGGTTTCTGCAGGCAATTTGCAAGTTAGAAATAACAAGGAAAAAACATTCAAACAGAGACAGTTACGAGGATCTACTCATGCGGATCTAATAGGACAAGAGAAAAAATTGTTGTTTCTCACAGTTTCTTCATTTCCCATAGATTAAAAAAAAAACTAGTTCACCTGAGACCAACACAGTGATTTCGAAATCAGAGATGGAATTTGACAACGAGAAGAAAAGGACAAAAGACAAACAGAAGAGAATACAATTAAAGCTTACTCGGCGCCGAAATCTCCGGCGACGACGGCGAGGAAGGAGAGAGAGCCAGGGTGCCAGACGCAGACGAGGGGAAAGATGAAATGAAAAATAAGGACCATATTGCAATTAAGAGATACTTTAAGGACCATATTGAAATGAAAATAACGACTTGGCAATTCATTTAACAATATGATAATATGGGACATCATATTTGGCAATTCATCTAACAATATGATAATACGGTACAACATATTTGGTTTAAAAACGGTGTTCCTATATAGGTATAATAAAAAAAATTATATATAAATAACTGAATATTATAAAATTTCTAAATAAATATATGAACTATAAAATTCTTAAATAAATACCCGAATTTTTTAAAATTTCTACGTAAATATCCAAACTTTTAAAAATTTGTCAAATGAATATTCAATGATGACTAAGTCATCAATTACCGATAAATTCTGTTATAAGTTTAACGTCGTTAATAGATTTTTGTTTTATTTGATAAATTTTTAAAAGTTTGGATATTTATCTGGAAGTTTTGAAAAATTCAAGTATTTATTTGGAAATTTTATAGTTTAAATATTTATTTGGGAATTTAATAAAAGTTCAGGTATTTATATATGATTTTCTCTATAAAAATTAAGAAGTTGCTAATATACTAATAAAATAGTTGAAATGCTAGTAATTGGTGTTCTAATCTGTGTGTTTACGGTAATATTAATTAAACCCAGGGCCGTCTCATAAATTTTTGGGGCCCTGTACAGATTTTATATTTATATAAATTAATAAATTTAAAAATAATAATTTTAAATAAAATAAAAAAATTAAAAATTGTATTATTTCCAAAAACATTTAAAAATGATATAAATATATTTAATTTAATATAATATACCAATGAATTGCTATAATATATTTTAATTAGTTTTAATAAATGTTTTTAATATATTTTATAGAAACAATCAGTTCTAATAAATATTTTTTTATAACAATTATAATATATTTTGGTTTTAACTATTAAAAATAAATATTTAATAATAATAAAGATAATTAATAATAACAAAAGTTGTTACCGTTTATAATTAATTTTAATTATTTTCTATTATTAATAATTAATAATTAATAAATAATAATTAATAAGGGGCCCATAAATTTTGGGGGCCCTATTCCATCGCACCTTTTGAACATACTAATAGACGGCTCTGATTAAACCGATCAACTTGTTATCAGACATTTTTCCTATATTCGAAAAACAAAATTGAACATATTTTTATTTTATTACGAGAATAAATTTTAGAACTTTGAATACGTGGGTTTCGGGATTTATAACTCAAATCATTCATCTGATATTAGATATAGCCTTACACGATATCTAATATTTTATAATGCTCCCGTTATTAATAGTCTTGGATAATATTGCTCGAGAAATCAAGTCTTGGATAATATCAGATACTAACTTAATAACTCGAACTCCGGACACTCTATTTAAAGAGGGTGGAAATTCATATTCTTCAAGGTGTTAACGAATATAAATCTAGACAAACTATGACTGATGTTTCTGCCATAATAAAGTCTTTCTTGATATAGGTTTCATCATCCAAGCAACGTTCGGCTGATACCACTATTGGAATTTTCTGAGATCTGTAGAGCAAATTCTATTCTTATGAGATCGATTCTAGGGTTTACGCAAATGATGAAAAACAAAATTTTATGAAACTCTAGAACCATGCATGTATGAATCGTAGAAACGTTGAAACGCTTACCTCAATCGATCCGGGGTCTGTATCAACTGAAGAATTCGTTCGATCACTTAAGGCAGGAAGATTACCTCGCCCTCTACACGTATCCACACCTTTGGATGGATTCCGACGATTGGAACTTGTCTGCTAGAACCCGAATCAACTATTTCCGTATGTTGCTTTGAGAAAACGAGACTTAGATCACCTCTTAGATCTCACCAAAGTCTATTGAAGTGTTCAAAGTCGGCTCACTTAATTAGGGTTTTAATCTCCTTCTTATAAAGTTATTTAACCTTAATTTTGGTTTAATTTTCGAAAAATCCGAAAGCCGGAACGGACGGTCCATAAATGCACGTGGACCGCCCGTTCCAGCAAGCAGAACAAAGCCAGAACGGACGGTCTACCTTATGTGGACCGTCGGGTCTGGACCTGACGGACCGTCGGGTCTGCTCTTCTGGTCCATCGGTCTGGACCCTTCCGTCTCAGTTTTTTCGTCGTTTTCTCATGCGTTTTCTCCTTCCCTACGTGTATGACCCTGTAGGCTCATTCGATATAGCAGTATAATCCGAAAACTCTATTTCGGATATACAAGTCATAGGCGGTCTCTAGCAAGACAGTATGACTACCTATCTCGAATAGAGTTTGTTCGTAATCTTACGAACATCAGTGATGATTCCGGCTGATGATCCTTTTGTATCACGATATCATAAGTCGAACATAAGGAATGGACATGCCACCTTATCTGATTCGACTGCTTTCTCGTTCACTGAGTTCGACTGTATGAAATAGACGACGTTCGTCTATAGTGCGGCCACACATTTCATAGTCTCGCTCACACGAGGGGCCCAACGATATCTCTCTCTTTTACGAGAGGTACAAATCCCATCTTGACTATCTACAATCCATCACATGATTCGTTTCGTACTTGATACACGCCTTTATAGTCCTCTTGTTACGCAGGACGTTTGACGAATTCAAAGTACGCAACTCCTCATGTTGGATTCCGTAGATATCTCAGGTCTTAGGATCCGATCATGGAACCGTCATATGAGATTCAAGTCATGAAGCTAGTCCATGTGACAATCTCATGCGGGTCAGTCCAGTATTCCGTTCTCCAACGAATACCTATGATTGTGATCGTATCCAATAACTATGATCATCTATATGATCATCAATCACACATCATACTAGTCTTAGTATATCATTATTCCCATAATGACATATGACTAGGAAGTTTAGTATTGTTCATAACAATACATGGATATCATAACATATCAAGTATGCAAAACATGTAATAAATAAAACACTCATCCATAAACCATAGAAAGTGTCAATACATCAAATGTATCTAAATAAAGCTCGCATAACAGTACATCATAGAGCACTCAACCAACAATAACTTGGCATAAACTGTTCAGATGGTGGAATCCATATCGGAAAGAATTTGTTGATGGCAGTTGTTGAAGGAAACATGGAAAAGAAGGCCCCTTCCTAGTAGAATTACTCAAATACGGAGCAATGGAAAGAAAGATAAGAGGGTGGAAAAGGATTCAAAATGTTTGCACTCGTCCACTTCTCTGACCAACAGGGTCAACAACTACTGCATTATCACAGAGAGAGACGTGTATTGGTTGAACACCGGAACTCTCTAAGTCATTATATATAGCTAAATAATGTGTAATTGTTCGGAGTTTCTTCCTACCTTATAGTTTTCACATAAATGTTTGGTAGTAACTTCCTTTCAGATATGCGTATCAATTATTTGAACACAAGTAACTTTCATTCGAACATGCATATCAATCGTTCATCCTGCCATAAATAAGATCCATCCTAACATCTTTCATCCTAACGCATCCCATTCTGCATTGATTATATATTGCTCCTCAACTCTTTTATGTGATCGCAATTAACAAACTCTCGGACGTTCCTAACCTACCCGAACGAGATTTTGCATTAACGGATGAAACTTGGTTTGGGAACCAGTGAACCTCTTCCTGGTTCACTTTACCAGGACGTAAGAGTAATGTCTTGGACCGATATCTCGTCTGGACGAAATTCGAACACCCAGATGGGTATACATACTAGTCCAAAAATACGTTTTTCTAGTTGAGGATCTAATTCAATTGTCTGCATTCTATCCATAATCTCGGAATAACAATACTATTCACCTGACTCCTTGAATTTCTTTCGGAGGATTATACAAACGTTTGTAGAATACCGAATTTACAGCGGAAAAACAAAACGGAAAAATCTAAAAAAAAACACGCAACTTTCAAATTTTGACAAAAAAACACTGAACTTTTTATTTTATCAAATAAACATTAAAGTTTTTAAACTTAATAAAATAAATACTTAACTCTTTTATGATTGTCAAAATTAATAAACAAAATGACTGATGTTGCACAAGGAGATGCAAACACGTCAGATTATTTTACTTGTTTTTTTTTACAATAAAAAAAGTTCATGTATTTTTTTGTATCAATGAAAAAGTTTCAGTGTTTTTTGATAATCGCAGAAAAGTTCATGTATTTTTTGGATTACTTAAAAAATTCAGTAGTTTTTTAGATTCATTTAAAAAGTTTAATGTTTATTTCAGTGTCGGACCCACAAACTTTTTCTAGTGGGGACATTCATAAAAAAATTATATATAAAAATAAGCTAAATTTAAAAAAAATAGATAAAAAGAAGTAAGAGAGTTGAAAGTGGAGGCCACATTCAATAGTTAATGGAGGCATCATTCTCTTTTTATTAAAATTTATAAAATTTTTAACTTAGAATTTTTTTAAAAAATTGACTATGGGGGCACGTGACCCCCACTCCTTGTACGTAGGTCCGCCCCTGGTTTATTTGACAAAAAATAAAATTCAGTATTTTTTGTCAAAATTGAAAATTTCAATTTTTTTTTATTTTTCCAATTAAAAATTGATGTAGGAAATCATAACATTGATGAAAATTCATGGGGGAATATGAGATTTTTTCCAACATAAATATATATGTTAAAGTAAACAAACATAGTGTTCTTGAACAAAATAATGGAATAATGTTCTCCAAAACTGCCTGAGAATCGTCTGTGCAGAGAGTTCGATATTTTATACTATTTAAATTTTTTTACAGTAAGAAAGAAAGTAAATGACGGTGTACTTTGATATGATCATACACTATTAAAGGACATTGTGAGAATTAAATAAAAAAAATGTATACTTTTCAAATGACCTAAATATTTTGGCACACTTTGCAAATGACATGTACCGTTTGGTACGGTTCACCAATTGCCCCAGAAATTAATGATTTGTGAAGTACAACAATTATTAGGAAATAATGAGTTAGAGTTGTAGATATAAAGGTTAGGAAAGGTTTAATAAGAGGAATGAAAGAACTTATATTA